GAGCAGCGCATGCTGTACTTGCCCTTCCTGTCTGTTTCTTCCCCTTGGCTTACAGAAGGAATCGCGCAGCTTCTCTTGCTTCTCTCCGCGGAGCCTGGCGGGCTCCAGACCGTTCTGAAATCCGGTTCTCCGATGTACTCGAGTCTGGAGGGCACCGACCCCTTCCAGGCCTTGCGCTCTCTCCTGAGGGCACTCAGTGCCCCACACAGTGTGGACCTCAGCCCGGCTCCTGAGCCGCCTCCGGGGCAGCAGACTTCACCGCCACTCGGCTCTGCTACCTGATCGCTTTATCCGGACTCATCCCCTGTCCCCGGGATGAGGCGCGGAAGTCTAACTCAGCTCAGCGCTCACCAAGCCCCAGTGGAGCAGCAGCCGGACTCAGAAGAAACTTGCAAGATTCTGCCGACTGACCTGGCTGCACAGATCCTCCCCACCAATCCGAAACCTGACCGGGGAGCGCAGGGGCTGGGAGTTATGGGAAACAGGGCAGCGCCTCAAGTTCTGGTTCCCAACCAGATGCAACTTTGCCTCAGAGGGGACATCTGGCCCCACGTGGAAGCCCTGAGCATCCTCCAGGACCCGGAGCAGTCTTCACACAGGGGACGGCCGGTTTCTGTTCCTACCTCGGCTTACTGCTCAGGCCTCCCTTTGAGTCTCTGACCGTCCTATGAGTTTTCCATTTCACTTAACAGAAATAGATTAAACAGAACCCACTTAAATAGAGCACCTTTTCTATTAATTTGCAGATGAAATAACCTCAGCTTACAAAGTATGGTGGCTCAATCACGGGACACACGGCCGAAACCAATTTGCAATCTCAAAATACAGTAGTTAATTGTTAGAATGGGAGAAAGTGCGGCACACAGGAAGATGAGGAGGGCGCCGCCAGGTCAAATCACAAAGGTCTCCAAATACTGCCAGTGTCCCTCCCTCCCCCACGGGGCAGAGCTGACCAGGAAGGACGCCTGGGCTCGGTCTAAGAGCTTCTGAGATGCTCTGCGGCAGCCCAGAGGCGAGCAAGCCTGACCCAGAGCTCCCCTACTCCCGTGTGCACACCTCTGTCTACATGCACACGCAAGCGCGTGCGCACACACACACACATACCCATGAGAGGAAGGCCTGGAGCTGAAAGGTAGCTGGTCTCACCTCCTTTACTGCATTTGTTTTAACCAAAAATAAATAAATAAATAATTTTTAAAAATTTTTTGAGACAGGGTCTCACTACAAGCTCAGGCTGGCCTTGAATTCACTATATAGCCCAAGCTGGCCTTGAACATGCAGCAATCTTCCTGCCTCAGACTCTTGACTACTGGGATATCAGGCATAGCCAATCATGTCCAACAATTTTTTAGAACTTTCTATTCCCTTGTGAAAAGATTCACCTAGAAAAACCTCCAAAACACCCTCTGCTGTTTCTAGCTTGAATGATCCTCATAACTTTCTTCTTCAAAAGCTTTTCCTGTTTCACTTTCCTGTGGGGTGTGCAAGGGTGGATGGTGTGCTGAGAATTGAATCCAGGGCCTTTACACTGAATTACATCCCTGGCTTTAAAAAAAATTTTTTTTTAAATTCTGAGATAAGAGTCTTGCTAATCGCCAGGCTGGGTTTAAAAATACAATTGTCCTGCCTCGGCCTCCCAGAGTGCTAGATTACAGGGCCTGTGCCACCTCTGAAAAGTATAATCACCGTGACCAGCTCCCCCCCAAACTACACTTCCTGTCCTCCACTCAAATTTTTCAACTACAAAAACTCTTCATTAATGCAAACAACAAAGAAAATTACATAGATTTATACTTTAGTTAAGCATGTACAGCATTTGTTAATCTCTTAACAAGTCCTCTTTCACAACTTTTCCAACATAACAGCTTCTCAAATACCTACATCTGGACCACACTGCTAGTTTTAATTTTTCTTTTCCCACCTTGGTACCAGATATCAAACTCAGGACCTTGTGCTTTTGAGGCAGGTGCAGCACCACTGAGCTATAGCCCCAGCCCTTAATCTTGCAGTTTCACTATACTTCAATCTCAAGGCTCAGAGTGAACATTCTTCTTTCTCTGGGTTCCCCAACAGTCCTTTTTCTGATTGGTACAATCCCTACATTCACCTATAACAAGTAGGTCACTGCCAGGCGTGGTGGCACAATTCTGTAATCTCAGCACTTGGGAGGATGAGGCAGGATGATCAAGAGTTCAAGGCAAGTTGCACAATATAGAGAGATCTAGTATCTTTGGGAGGCTGAGGCAACTGCCTGAGCAACTTAGCAACTTGTCAAAACCTGTCTCAAAATTTTGAAAATTAACAAGGGTTGGGGATGTAGCTCAATACAAAGGCCTTGGGTTCGAGCCCCAGTAAAAATGGTAGGGGAACAGAAAGAACTAGGTTATTTTCTTGGTTCTGCATTTCCAGGATACCATTTAGTGAATGAATCACTCATTGCTTCCTAAAACCACAAGAAAACTACTCATCTTCAAATCTATGGCAATATTAGTGGCAAAGGCTTGTACTATTAATTCAAATAATAGCCATTGAGTGCCCACTTCATGACAGCTTCAAAAGAAAAAAACAAAACCCTGCCTCCATGGAGTTTACATTCATTCTAGTGTACAATGAAAAACACCTTATATATAAATATAATATGACACAAGAGATGAACGCTACAGATTTTAAACTGTGGTCAGAAAAACCCACCTTTGGGAAAGTAACATGGACTACATCCACAGGCCACATAAGATGACTTTTATTAGAAAGTAATGCTTTAAGTATTTGCTGTTAGACTGTATTAAATTGCATTCCAGATACAGTGGACTTTTAACTTATGAACTCAATCAGTTCCCAAGGGCTGGTTTTAATTCAAGTTGGTTGTAAGTCAATACAGCTGAGATCTGGATATTTATCTAGGTACACACTATAGATAACAAAAGGCAGGTGAATCTTCCGTTAACCTAATTAACAACTTCATATGTCAAGCCTGTGGTAACTTGAGGGTCCACTATAACTAGATCAATATAGTGACATCTTCATGACATTGTATAATCTATACAATTAAACTTGTCCTGGTCATTTCAAAATTTCATTCCTATGTTAATAATTAGTTTACCAAAACATGCGGTTTGTGACTATGGATACTGTTCAGATTTAGGAATTACTGTATTTTTCCTAAATAGAGCAAAAACATGAATTTGATATTCTTCAGTTACCTACATTGAGGAATAACTGAAATAACTGAAGTGTTTCAAAAACTTACTCTTATCTCAGCTCTTGGGAGGCTGAGACAGGAGAATCGCTGCAAGTTCGATACCAGCTTGGGCTACCTAGTGAGTTCAACTACACAGTTCACCTGAACTACATATCAAGACCCTTTCTTAAAAAAAAAAAAAACAGGGCCAGGGATTTAGCTCAGTGGTTCCTCTACCTGCATCAAAAGCACAAGGTCCCAAGGTTCGATACCCAGTACAAAACAAAACAAAACAAAACAAAACAAAAAAACCCCACTGGTTGGATTGTTTTGAGCTTGGATACATTTAAAATAATTTATTAATAATAGAAAAAAATCTATATACTATCTACTATGTGCCACTCACTGTTCTAAGCATTTGCAAATATTAACTAGCTTAATAAACGTATATATACAACACTTGCAACCAAAAAAAAAAAAATTCACTCTGGAAAAAAAAGTCATTACAATTTACCACACAACTATAAGAAATCACACAGCTCACAAAATAATCCTAAGGACTTAATTCTTAGTATGTGGGTGTTATCTACTTTGTGAAGCCAGTTATTATACCCGAGTCTTAATTTTTTAGAGTCCTTCTCAAATGGAATTCCACAACAGAATTAAACAGTAATGCCCTAAGGGACGTACTGACTGAATTAAATTTTCTTCTAGGCGCCTAAAGTACAAGGATGTGTGCCATCATCCTTGGGACAGTGAGAAAACAGGCATTCAAATCATTTGCTGATTTTTAGAGAAGAGGAAGGGAATAAAGGAAGAAGGAAATGATCGAAGAATTTTATATGCCTGTAATAGCCAAAATGAAACACTTTTTCTGCACTAATAAAATTTTAAAATCATTTCCCATCGGTCTGAATTTTCTTGTGTAACTGGGTGTGAGAAACGGCAGAGGGAATTAAACAAAAGATGGAGGGGGGGAAAGCCAGATTTTTCCAAAATAACAACAGATAAGAGAGAAAACCTTCCAAAATAACTCGTGATTTGATCATATGTACTATTAATTGATTGGCTGATTTTGCACTGAGGATTGAACCCAGAGCCTTCCCAGCCCCTTCTCACTTTTGACACAGCAGCTCACTAAATTGCCCAGGCTGAGCTCAAACTTAAAATGCTCCTGCCCCAGCGGGGATACAGGTTTGTGCCACCACGCCCGACCTATACGTACAATTTTAAAAAGGAACTTCCCACTTGGTGATAATATTAAGAAACGTAATATTGATAACTGTTGCTATAATTTGCTATTTTTTAAAAAAACTATCTTACTCAACGTTATAAATCAGGAACGTTTTGCTCAATCACATATTGTTTTGTCCCCTTACATATCATCTGCGGTATGAAACAATCTGGAAAATCAGGAATTATGCTTACTACACAAGTTATCATTACATCCCAGTCTCTCTCTCCCTAAACATCAGTTCAAAGTAGTCATCCGCTCACAAATAACAGAGAAGCGAAGGGGATCCCAGCCAGGCGCTGTGAATTCAGTCACCAAGTTGGAGCAAGAGCCTACATTTAGCCTGCGTCTCGAGACAAATATGGTGAAGCCAAGAGCAGTAACAAACTGCCAGTCTCCTGAGTCATGTTTCTGACTAAAACTGCGCTATGAAATGGAAAGAATGACATTTCGGAGGTTTAATCATCACAGATGTCAACTCCCTGGGTAGAAGGGACTCGGACGCAAAACTCTTTAGTAAAAATGTGGCGGGGGGGACCTCGAGCGACTCCAGACACAACTTGTCAAAGCGGGAAACTGGCGATTTACCTAAACCCAGTCCTGACCGTGCGCACAGTGCCGCCCCGCAGCGCTCGCGAGCGGCGGCGCCGAGC